GAGAGTCATGGGTGTTCGACTCAGGTATCACTTTCTATCATCTGTCATCTGAGGGCACGCCTTTTGTCCTCCACCTGTTGGCCCCAGTGACATGCAGGGAGGTGTCCCTGCTCCCTGTCCTCGGGGAAAACTCCTTAATGAGACTGTTAGTCAAAGCGAATGTTCTCACAAAGGGAGTGAAACAGCCACCCTGACCTGATGGTGGATTTTGCTGGAAATCTGAATTGAGGTCCGGGGCATTTAACCTGGGTGTCACGTCTTCATTTCTGTCAAGTGTAGACTCAGTAGTAGGGAGGGTGGAGACTTTATCTACTAAGAAAAATGTTCCACAGTGGAGATTTTCACTTTCGATTTGGAAAAATGCTTAAAGTATGAAATTACAAAACCAATATTTTCACACCAGAAGACGAAAATAACACATTGTGAGGAGCATCAGGCAGAAAACAAAACAAGACAAAAACTCCCCAATAAAACAACAAAACCCAGCCAATATGTATTTAAGCTTCTTCCTTATGCAGCCATCTCACAGACCTTGTCCAAAGATACCGTTTTTAGGAGGTTAAGTGAAGTCCTTGATTGGAAGAGGGAAGAAATGGGAGGTCCGCCGAGACCTTCGTCCCTGCTGGTTCAGGCCTGGCTCAGGCCCCTCAGGCCCCTCTCAGCAGGACCACCGCCATCTCCCACACCTGCCTTTCCACCGCACCCTGCCCCTCCTCACTGCGTCACGGAAGCCAGGTGGGATCTTTCTAGAAGGCAAATTTCTGTCCAGCCATTCCTTTGCTTAAATGGGTTTAATGGCTCCCCAGTGCCCTTAGGATGAAGTGTAAACTCCCATGACATACGAGCATGTTCGGAGAGGCAGTATGAAGGCAGCGCTGACCCCCGTGGGCTCTGAGCCGCACTTCCCGGGTTAGGGTGTCGCCTCAGCCACTTTCCAGCTGAGAACCCTGAGGCGAGTTACTGCCCTCTCTGGGCTTCCACTGCCTCCACTGTGGAGATGGGAGTGATGATACAGTCCTGCCAGGGTGGCTGGGAGGCACATACTGAACACCCAATAAACATTCACGATTACCATGATTATTTCTGCCCTGCTCTCAGTTGGCCTCTGCCCCTATGCCCTTGCCCTCAGTCATACCCAACTATTTACAGACACCCCCCCCCCAACCCACATTCCCCCATGAGACTTATTTCCTCTTGTCTCTGCTTCCTTTGCCTGCAGTGTCATCACACACACACTCACTCACTCACACACACTCATCTATCTACATCCTCTGTATTCACCAACTCATCCTTTGGCCAATTCTTCCACAACCTTCAACGCTCAGCTCAGGTCAAGGATCCCTTACTCTGAACAGCCCACCTGGACGTCACTCTTTCCACTTCACAGGTTCTCATGCTCCACGCCTTCCTCTGACCCACCATTGATCACACGATGCAGTAATGGCCTGTTCACTTGTAGGTCTTTCCTCGGCGCTGCCCGCCTTCTGTGCTCCCCCCCACCCCCCACCCGGCCACAGTGAAAGAGGGATTACAACTTGATCATTTCTAGATACTCACTGCTCACAAATGCTGGATACATGGGCAGATGGATGGATGGAGGGGTGGGTGCATGGATGGATGGAGGGATGGGTACATGGATGGATTGATGGATAGATGTTATCAAGGGAATCTGATCTAGTGACAGGAAACTTCCCAAGGCAGCCCATTGGGTTATAATCACAATCACACTAAATCTACCTGAAAATGCAATTACTCCATCATGTTTTCTGACCCATTGCTTGTCCATATTAAACTTACCTGGTTTCCTGTGTCATCCCCTCCAACAGTATGCGTTCAGATCCCCTCCTTAATCCTGGTTGGTACCCTCCAAACATTCTCCTCTTTGTCAGGCTCTCTTTGAAGTAGGCTCTGAAACTGAGAGTGACCCTGCAGGTGTGGGGCTGCTAAACTCCGGGATATGTAAGTGTGTGGCTCCGTGAGTAAACATGCTCAGCACCATCTTGCCAGGCGCCAGGAGCCTCATTTTGATGCACTGTGAGGCTCCACCAAGAATAGCAGTCATCATCTTAATAATAAACCGTCAGGGCGGCCTCAGCCCAGGCACAGTCCTCTAATCTGCTGGTGGTTATCAGGCAAGAACGCTGCTGTGGGAGTTAGAATTCACTCTTAGAGATGCTTCCCGAAAGGGACTAAAACAGGAAGGCTGAGGCCAGATGGAACCTGTAAGGTCACCCATTCCAGTTTCCTGTCTGATGGTTCAGTCTCCTCTAAACACCCTTTTAGCTCAGGCTTACACTCATCCTCGATGGGCAGTGCCCTGCCTCGTTAGGGCCTTGTGACTTGTTAGCAAGTTCCTTATACGTATACAGTATCCAGCTGAAAACCACTGCCCATTGCCGCTGTCCATTTGACGTTCAGACAACAAAACTTTCATATCATTTACACATGCAAAAGATTTCCCGTTTTCAATTTCTGGAAGGAGCCAAGAATTATATGCACAGGATTGCTTATGTGTCCAAATAAAGAAATCTGGCTTATGTGTGGGCTGGTAGTGGGAGAGATTGTTTTCTTAAAAGGTGATGAGAATAGTTGTGCTACAGTTAGGTATCTTATTTCAGAGGCAAAGCCCCATTTCTATCTGTTGGTGTTGGTCTTATGTATTTACATGTAAAAGTTGATGTATTAAATAATTGCTTTTGAGTTATTTTGTCTTCAAACTGCAATGTACAGTGAAAACTGCCAGAGCAGACAGAGGCGTTGGTGCCTTAGTACCATGTATCATTCACACGTTGATTCACTCAACAGGTATTTATTTTTATTTTTAGAGAGAGAGAGGAAAGAAGAGGGGGAGAGAGAAAGAGAAACATTTATGTGAGAGCAAAACACCAATTGGCTGCCTCCTGCACATCCCCTGCCAGGGATGGAGCCTGCAGCCCCGGCTTGTGCCCTCACCCTCTGGTGCATGGGAGAATGCCCAACCAACTGAGCTACACGTGCCAAAGCAACAGATAGTGAGAATTTGCTTGGTGCCCTCAAGGAGTCTGCAGTCCATGAAGGGAGAGAACGTTTGATGTTGATCACACTGTGTGGAAAATCTTGTTGACTTTGCCGTTCTTTGCCAGTGGTTATGTGCTGTGCATTGCTGACTTCCCACTACCTGGCACATTGGAAGCACATGGTGAATATTGGCTAAATGCGTCAGTGGCTGGATCCATGAAGGGAATAAGCACAGTCTTTGGCACTTGATACGCGGAGCTAGCTATGCGGCTGGGGATGAGGACATGTGGTTTTATAAAACAGGGACCCATCTTGCAGGGTTGGTTGTGAGGATCAAAAGAGATAATGTGCAGAGTGCCTAGCACAGTGCCTGGTATACAATTCTAAAAAGAAAGAAAGAAAAGCCTTATTTCGTTCCTAGTCTAGCTCCATCTATCTCAGGGGTGGGCAAACTTTTTGACTCGAGGGCCACAATGGGTTCTTAAACTGGACCGGAGGGCTGGAACAAAAGCATGGATGGAGTGTTTGTGTGAACTAATATAAATTCAAAGTAAACATCATTACATAAAAGGGTACGGTCTTTTTTTTTTTTTAGTTTTATTCATTTCAAACAGGCCGGATCCGGCCCGCGGGCCGTAGTTTGCCCACGGCTGATTCTATCTGTACAGGAAAACAAATGAGAACGTATTTCTAGAGACTTCATTGGTTTGCTCGTGTTTAAAGACACGGCCTCTCAGCAGAGCCCCACCCCCGAGCCCTTTGGAAGGAGCGGAAATCAGCTTTACCCTGGCAAAGAGGAAACCCAGGGTCTCACTCGAGGAAGAGAGAACAGTGCTGGAGGTGGGTGGTGGTGATGGTTGCACAACAATGTGACTGTACTTAAATGCCCCTGAACTGAATATCTAAAAACGGGAAAGTGGTACATTTTATGTGAGGCTTTGTTTCTCTATTCTCATCTACCGCATGTCTGTGATCTTCAAATAGATGCTTGAGGGCATAAAAGAACCTTGCCATTTAAAGATACCCCACAAGGAATCCTGTTTTAATGTCAGTTGTCGCCTGCCATATGGCCGGTGGGCTGAGGTGCCGGGCAGGCTGGGTGCTCCTGGGACACGCGTAGGGGCGGAGCTGGAAGCGAGGGAGAGTCAGACCCCACTCCAGGGTGAGTTTCTGTGTCCAGTGCTCATTGTCCGTAGAGAAGGCATTAACTCGGGCTTTACTCAGGCAGATCACTAACCCAGGAGGCCAGCCTGGTGGGGAGGGGGACCACACAATCATTGCTCTTTATAGAGACTCAGGAAATTTAGTGGCGTCCAGGGAAGCCTGTGGCTGAAAGCCTCTCCTCCTACCCTTCCTTGGCTTACTGGGTGCCTGGTGTGAGGCCCAGCTCAATGGGAGACACACCAGCAGGTATGGGGAGCTGCTTTATTCCCACCCTCCTTGGCTGAGCCAGGTGGGGACTGGGTTGCTCTCCCTGGTGGAAAGCTGCAGGGACTTGGCTGCGAGGAGCAGGGAGACCACAGCGGAGCCTTCCCCGCTCCTGTGCTCCCCTTTGGCCAGTGTGGTGTCAAGTATATTTAAATGTATTTTATTGATTTTTGAGAAAATGAGCATCTGAGACAACTAGTGTTACAAAAGGACCCACCTGTTGGAAAAATGGAAGGTACCTGGGCCCTCCACGCCCAGGGCCTTAATTCCTAGAGAGAGCTGAGACTTGCCGACACGTTTGCCACCAGAGAGCAGTGGTTCTGCATCAGCGTCGCCTGGGGGACGCGTTCAGGTTCATGGCTGGGTCTGAGGCGGGGCCTGGGGGTCTGCATGTGCAGCAGGTTCCGCGATGCTGCTGGCTGCTCCAGAGGCCGAACTTCGAGAACAGCGATCACAGAGTAATCCTTTTCTTCCCCGTGCTCTGAATGTAAATTATGTCTGTTTGTTTTTTGCCACGTCCCCCATTTCCGTCAACATCTTCCACTGATATGCTTGTCTGTGTCTCCTTTGAACAGGTATTTTGACGTCGGCCTCCATGATTTCTTAATCAGGTAAGCCAGGAGTTTCTATTTTCCATATCACTGAGGAGCATGTCTATGAGGGAGGGCTGACAGGAAAACGAAATCCCGTTCAATATCTCGATAAATGCGGGCAGCTGTACACTTGTCAAGAAAACACCACGACACTCTGTGTTTCCGCGCTTTCCCAGAATCACACCGGATTATCCTTCACAGACAATCGAAAGGAAGTTCATGTTTAAAGGGGTTTGCATCTGAAGTGACAGTTACACGAGAGCTTGAACAAGCTTGATTCCACCCACTGGGCATCTGGAAAGACAAACAGAAGAGCACCAGCTTGTATTCACGTATCAAACAGCCCCCTTCGCCAGTTTCCCCACTGAGTTTAAGCTTTTTAAATGGAATCTGTTGGTTGTTTTACAGTCATAAGTAATTGAAAGATTACAGATGGCAGTTCATATCCTAGTTTATTGGTGATTTTTACCAGAGTTGTCTTATGGAGCATATTAATTCCAAGTAGCTATTAAATCAAACAGAGGTTAAATGGAAATATACCAGAATATTAACAATGTGGGTAAGAATATGCCTGAGATTTTTTTTTTCTGCTATCAACTTCGGTGTATTTTCCAGATTTTTTTTTTAAATTGAGCATGTATTCATCTAACGGAGGTGAAAATTATCATTAAAATGCCTGTCAAAAATATATGTGGGAAGCAATAATGGTTGTGGAGGGAGTGTAAGCTGAAGATTAGAAGGAAACCAGAAATCATGTTGAGTGATGCGCTTTCTGCAAACGCCTGGCTCTAAATGCGAATTAATTCTGACTGAGTCTGCTCTTAAATAGTCTGCAAACCCCGTGTGACTCCTGGAAAGGGTGGGTCAGTTCTCTGCCTGCGTGACCATCTCCCTGTGATGAAATGCTCTCTCGGGGAAGTGGACATAATCGGCATTGCCTTTATCCTAAATCAGCAGCATCGCCTCTGTGCTGGATTACACCTGGCCGTGTTCCCCGAAAGGCCATAGCACCGTGTCCTTTCTCCAGGGCCTTGTCCTGGGCTGCACCTTGAAATCCCCCCCATGCACCCCAGACCCGAGGACGATGGACTGTCCTGGCTTTCTCCAGGACGTTGCACACAGTGTATGTACCGCTCCCCGTGACACATCAAGGGTGTAGATGCATTTCAGCAGGAGGGATAGAGGACCGGGCGGCATGGGAATTCCATATGGAAAGTGATGAGGACAAGCTGTCAGGGTGTGTGCTGCAGGGAGCAGGTTGGACTTTCGAGTTCGTGTCTTTGGTGCTCTGAGTCTGTCCGACTGCCGTGCTACTGTTCTCGTCAGTCCTTGTCGAGGATGCAAGCTTGTACTTCCCTTAGGTTCTCTGGTCCCTTTCTCGAGGGCAGGGAACATGTGCTAACCACCTCGCTATGATGACACGGTGTAGTGTCAACTTCAACAGACATCTGTGGTGGGGGTGAATGAATGAAACGGGGCAAAAAGGACAAGGAGGGTGAGGATTAATAAGAAGCTGTCTAGTCATTTATTCAACAAATAATTGAGCCTACCTAGACGTGCCGCTCCCTTGGGCATATCCTGGAATACCGTCCTGAGAGAAACAGACGTTTGATTTAGAGCTTTCCCTGAGCGTGCCCTTTCCAGGCTGTGGCGTGTGACTGGAAGTGGGGCGGCGGCGTGGTCTCCCCCTGGACCCTCCTTCCTTTCCTCCTGGGCTCCAGCCCTGTCTTGTCGGGTGGGGAGGAGGGAGGAGCGGTTAAGTCCCTGTGATAAACGGGTGCTGGGATCTTCTCGCCCTTCTTCGTGGGTGCTGGTGAGATGCTCTAACGCGTCCCCTTCATCTGCGTTCCGTGAACCAAGCAGGGGGAGAGGAAGGCTTCTTTTGGCCCTGCCGCCTCTCGGCAGTTTTCTCCCCCCTGGTCTGGTAGGCAGAGCAGATAGCATGTTCCTGGCGCATTCACTTGGGGAGTGAAAGGTCCGTCTCCCCTTCCTGCAGCCATGCCCGGTCTCTGTGACCAGGTCTCTCATCCTCCCTCCCATGAAAACCAGACACAATGGGTCCAAGGCCGCCTGTCACTATGTGAGCCAAAGTAAGCAGAGACGGGGTTGAATAACATATGAGCATTTATTCCAATAATGCCGGCAGGATGGGGACCCTGGAAATTCTGCTCGCACCCCCCTTGCCAGTTGGCTGGTTATATACACGCGAGGGAGAAGAGAGCTACGTTCACTGCAAGTGTAACAGGGAAAGGAGAGGGGCGGGTCTGTGGTCCGGCCTTTGGGAGCAGCAACTTTCTCACCGCGTGGATGCTGTCTACCCACAGGGATGTGTCCGAGGCCATGAAACGCAGCGATGCCTTCGCTGCTTTAAATCGGGATCTTTAAAAGGGTTCTGTAATCCTGCCAACGAAGCTACAGGATAAGCGAGGCTTAGAGATTTTCTGTGGCTTTGGTATCCCTGACTTTCTCTAATAAGGAAATTAAGAGTTTGCTCATTTGGTTTCAGGAAATTTTGTGAAATTTCTGAGAAATCAACCCTGACTCTAAGAGCAAAAGAAGGCTTAGTTTCCATGCGGAATGCTGGTTCCTAACATCGCTGTGGGAGGCGGGGTTGGGGAAGAGACTGGGGAGAAGGCGATGGGGACACTGTAGCTGCCTGTCAGCCCCATAGGGACCGCAGGCCTCGGCAATGCCAGCCTGTGGCGGAAAGTCGAAGCAGGTCTCCCCACACCTGCTGGGGCCTTCATTAGTTGCATGCTCTCCTAGGTGTTTCTCTCCTACGTACCACTGAGCAGGCACCTGCAGGCAACCGACTTCCTCCCGGCCCTGCCGGCTCACACGCAGCCTAATGATTCTTCCTGCAGGCTTCATGCCGGGCCACCGCCCTGGTGCCCTGCTGGGTCCGTGTGCTCCTGTCACATTTATCTCGGATGTCTGCGGGCATGGCGTGATGATTACTCACACCACACAGAGCAGAGATAGATGCATTTCCCCCCAGGGTTTTGTAATTTATTTGTTTGTTTAATTACATGCTCTTTTTATAAAACATCCCTCCCATGCCCACTCAGCAAATCTCCTGCATCTCCTACTTCCTGTGCATCTAAGCGATGATGGAATTCCTAGAGGAAGCCCAGATAGAGGGGGTCTGCATTTCCTGATCCCAAGCATCCTGAGATCCTCACAGAAGCACGCCCACTGTGACTGACTTCCCAGCCACCTGCAAGGGCTGTCTGGATGGGGTGAACCCCTCTTTGCTTTCTCTCCGAGGACGTGCTCTCCGCGGGATGCACTTTTGGAAGTCACTCTCTGGAAGAGGGTTGGCATTGCATCACGTGTCCTTAACTAGTCTTCCTGACCAGCCGTCAGCTTTTTGTGCAGTTGCCCAGCTCTGTTGGGGCACCACAGAAGGGCACAGAGGCCTCTGGGGGCAGACCCAGTGGACAGATGCACTCCTAGCCCGGAGGAGGCCTGCGGCTGGGCCTAGGGCTCTGGGTTCCAGGACTCGGCCTCAGACGCCAGCACCTCTGCCACCTGTCGTGCCTGTGCCTGTGCCAGTCTCACTTTCTTATCTGCCAGGGAAGACTGACCGAATCCAGGGTTTCACGAGGACTGGGTGAGATGATCCATGAGAGAGAATTCGGGACCATGGTAACGTATTGTAAGGTCAGTCACCAGCCTGTTGCTCTAATCCTGTCGGGCGAGGGGCTGGGCAGCATGGTGACTTCTTCATGCTCTTTCCTAAGGTGGAAAAAACATAGCCTGTTTCCAAGGAGTAGTAGAAATGTAACAGGTAGTAGAAGTTTTAATAGGCGTATACAAATAATCTCTCTTTCATAGCTGATGATTTGCTGGACATTGGCTGGAATCCCTGAGGTTGGGAGAGGGATAGTGGAAGGAAGGCCGGTCACTGATGTACAGATAGCTATATCCACACATCAGATGTTAGGCGTGGACTGGCCTTTTATCACAGAAGCCACTTAGAGGGATGCTCTTGCTGTGTGTGTGTGTGTGTGTGAGTGTGTCCCTCCTTGTGCTGTATCTGCATGGGAAATATAGCAAAGGTTTTGGCTGAAAATTATGTGGGGGTGGGCGAGAATCCCTAGTTATATAGTATACCCATGGGTGTATTTCCAAGAGCTAAAATGCAGATAAAATATATGGTGTTCCAGATGAAACCAAAACAGCAGCAAGAAGGCGTCGTTGCCAGCTGGTTTCAGTTGTGACCAGGCCACTGAAAATAAACACACTGTGGAATCTGAAAGCCAACAGCCTGACCCCCTCCGTTCTGAGCCTCGGAGCCTGGAAGAGCAGTGTGGGGGTGCACGGGGCGATTCCAGCCGGGGCAGCACCCTCACTCACACAGCCGCTCGGAGGGGCAGGGAGCGGATACCTGTCCATCAGCCACTGCCTGCCCCTGGCCCTCTGACTGCCGAGGACTAACTGCCGTAAAGTGGTGGAATTCCTGGGACAAATGTTTTCTTTTAAATTGGGGATTATGCTTTTAGAGCTTTAGTAAGCTCATCTCTACAGCCTCTGCTATGAACTGTGTAAATAACTGGAAGACATTTGCTGAAATGAAGACATTTCAGCCCACAGACCCTCCCCATCCCCACTCACCAGCCCGGAGCCTCGGACCCCTGGTGCTGCCTGGTGGGTGGCTCACAGCCACTGCTGGGGTTTTGAGATGAGTTTCACAGCAGCTCTTCGAAGCGCTTGCAACTCTGATGAGACAGAATGTGTCCAGTTCTCCCCCGTTTCCCACTGGGAAAGCCAGCTGTCTGCCGTTTCCACCCCAGCGTGGCCGTCCCAGTCGTGCTGGCTGGGCGCCACGTTCCTGCCGGTTGACTGTGGGCTTTGCAGCCTCCCCTGTTAGTGACTGTGTTCCTCCCGTTAGTGACTGTGTCCTTCCCATTAGTGACTGTGTCCCTCCCGTTAGTGACTGTGTCCCTCCCGTTAGTGACTGTGTCCCTCCCGTTAGTGACTGTGTCCCTCCCGTTAGTGACTGTGTCCCTCCCGTT